GCAGTACTAACTGCTAAAGAGGCCAGAGCTTCAGTGGGTCCCTCCCCCTCCCCCTCCCCCTCCCACACCTGGCATGTGCCTTCCCAGGACTCTGCTGGTTCCGTGCAGGAGCACACACAAGGGAAGGGGCCAACCACAGGGATGGTGCAGGTATGCCCTCCCCTGACACACACCAGGAGAAAGAGAGAAGGATCCAGGCTGCTGCACATAGCACCAAAGAGGAGCGCACACTGAGTGACAGGTGGGGCAGGCACCAGTCAGGGGTCCCCTGGTGCAGACGCGGGCTGAGTAGGGACATTTGCAAATACAGAGAAATGCTCTTCCCCTTTGCCACCCGGATGGACAGCACTTCCCTGTCTTCACACCTGTGGTGGAGCCAATGGGCCCACAGAGAAGTTCTGGTACTTGAAGGGGATGTGGGCAGTCTCCCGGGGTCGCAGGTAGAGCTGGGGTGCCAGGCTGCCACGCAGGTGGAACATGTCCTCCTCCAGAGGCGTGTGCAGGCCAGTGGTCTCCTTGAAGTGCCGCCACTCCTGGCAGTCCAGGATGATGCTAGAGGGGCAGGGTCAATGGTGGGGACCATGGTGTGTAAAGAAAATACACCTACCACCCCGAGAACCTCAGATGAGGGGACAGGGGATAGCCAGACTGGCTTCCATGCCAGAGGTGAATCAGTCCAGGGGCTACACACACACACACACACACACACACACACACACACACACACACACACACTCAGAGCTAGCTGGGTGGCAGCTCTTACCTGAGCTCCGGGCTATCAATCTCGATGGCCACCGTGTGCTGAGTGTTATGCGGGTTTTTAAGGGCAAACTCGAAGAACTCAGCCGTGCCCAGTGTGGCGTACAGTGTGTGGTGGGTGGTGATGGCCTGGCTCAGTACACTGGTGATGCTCTCTGTCTTGGTACGCTCCCGGTAGGCATCAATGACCTGCAGGTCCCGTGAGTGCTGTGCACGGACACTCTGCTGGGCCTATAAACACAAGGGGCCACATCTGACACCCCCTGAGTCCTTGCTTTGCCAGCCCCCATTCCCTGAGGCATTAGATTTATTTTGGAAATCAATCTCTCCTTCTTTAGCCATGTGGTTTGGAAGTACTACCTGTCCCCCATACTCCAGGGATCTCAGTGCTTGTCAGAATAGAACAGAGTACCACATCCCAGCTTGCCTCTGTCCCAAATCCTCCTAAGAGACCCCTTTAACCACCAAGGAAAGGTGCCAGGCATAGCCTAGGGGATCAGGAACAGTGATGTCAAACAAGAAAACACCTCATGGCCACAGGACCCACCCAACAGGTACCCCGCATGGTGCCGAAGCCTGCCTGGGACAACAGTCCACAGAGGAGATGTAGGTCCCGTGTGGTAGCCCAGCATCCAGCAACCTCAGTCTGGGTCCACACCTGACTGTGAGGTCTAACTGCCTCCTGCCTCGCACCCTCGCGTGCCAGGGTTCCAAGCCTGCAGCTGCACTGAGCCCCTCAGATCCAATGCTAAGGAGGCTGAGACCGCAGAGCAGGGAGGGTGGCTGCCTAAAAGGCCTTTGGACATAAACTCATTTAAAGTAACGATACCGAAGCTCAGGTCCCCGAGTGTGAGAAACCTTTAGTAAAAGATTTCCAACCTGAAAATGTCCACTTCTCTCCTCACCTGCAAACAGGGAGGAAGGTGAGGGGACTGCGGGGAGGAGGGACTGACTCTGGGGACGAGGTACAGCCATGGGCAGCCTCTCACCAGCAAACTGATCCTGCGGCTGCCAGAATCCCCTCCGGACTCCTGCAGACGCACCAGCCGCATCCTTTCCAGCTTGCGCCTGTGCACAGCATCTGCCTCCTGGCCCGCAGCCTGGGGCCCCTGGCCAGCTCGAGTGTGGGTCAGCAGCATGGCGGCCAGCTCGCTGTCCACGTCAGCCAGTTTCTGCGCCTGCACCACACGTTTTCCTATGGAAAGGGCCAGAGGAGGGGTCGGGGTGGATGTACAGAGGAGTACCAGCAAAGCCAGTGGCTGATCCCTAGGGACACTTCACATGAGCAAAGAGCTTCCAGGGTGGGTCCTCTCTGTGTCACTCGACTGATAAAGATGCATATTTGGGCCTGGCCCCTCACAGCAGCTCCCCTTTCACAGTCCCTCAAACCTAAGGAACTCTGGTCCCAGTCCTTAGCTCACACCAGTAGATGATTTTCTAAGAGAAAAGGCAGATGCTCGGGTTTATAGTTGTGTGATAACACCCTTTCCTGGACTCAGGTAGAAGATGGGGTGGTCACTGCTGCAGAGGCCTGCTTCTGAGGTACATCCGACTGACTCCCCAGCCCCGCCTGTGTGCACACAGCATGATCCCCAAGTTCTTATCAGAAATGGGGTTCACAGAGGTAACCTGGTTCCAGCACTGCTCTCGTCTGCCTTTTGGAGTGGGCACTCTGATGTGGGGAAGCTCAGATCCTGGACTCACGATGAGCTAGCCACAGACAGCAGGGTAAACACTGCCTATGCCCCCTTCCCATACAGAGCTGGGGTTAATGGTGCTGGTGGAACTGTGCTTGGTGACAAGGCCACATCACAGGCTGACAGTAAGAATCCAGGTAGGGCAGGTCAAAGGGGGATCCCACCTTGAGGCTTGGGTCCTCCCCCACTTACAGAGCTTCCCAGGGCCTGGCTCCACCTGTCATCACACAGGGCCAGTAACCCGCTAAGGCGCCCTATAGGGCAAAGCACGGCTGTTCCTCTACTCACCTACCACTCCCTGTTTCCAGGCTCCTCACCACCACTCTATTTTAAATTCATCTCATTGCTTTTTCAGTGTCACAGGTTGGCTTAGACATCTTAAGTGACAGCCTGAAGGAACACTTTGTATGTCAGAGCTTGGGCGTGCATGGGAAGCCCAACCTGGAATCTGGTCTGAGCAGCCTGTGATCATGGCCCAGGAGAAACAGCAGGCTGGGGGCAGCCACACAGCCAGGATTCAAGTTGAGTTCAAGGGACAGCACGTTTACCCCAACAGTTGCCTCCCCTGACTCCAAAGCAACCAGAAATGGGGTTCTGGAGGAGTCATGTGGGAGCACACTTCCCTAAACACAAGAACAGCCTAGAACTTCTCAAGGTCTCAGGGAACTTCTAATCCAGAGCCGTACCCCAGGGAACACAGGCTCTTGCAGGGAACCCTCTGCCCGCCCATCATGATCATGTGACCTCCCTTGCCTTAGTTCACTGAATATTAAAACGAGGGTCTGGCCTAGAACAATGGGGCATACATGGACTGTGGGTCCCTCCGACCACCTGCTGAGCCCTCAGCCTCTTCCTGAGGGAGAATGTACAGTTCTGCCTGCAGAGTCAGGAATTAGAGGGGCAAGATTCCCAAGGTCCTGTGACGTGGAGTGTAGAGGATTCACCGAGCCCCAAGCCATGGCTCGGGCATCCTCTTCTCAAGACACAGTCCAAGGCTGCAGTCCGAGGTGGACAGAGCTGGGACACCCACATAAGAAAGCTCTGGGAGTCACCATCTCTAACATCTGAGCAAAGAGCTACGTAGAGCGTACAGCCCTCCTCTCCTTCCGACGGCAGGCTCACATTCAAGCCCTGGGGCCTTCATGTTTAAGGGAACAGAAAGACTCCAGACACCCCGTGGAAGCAATTTTCCTCAAACCTAGGACTTTCCAGTCCAGACTCAAGTCTCTCATTCCCTAGCTTCATAAACAGCCAAGGAACCAGGGAGGAGTTTCTAATCTGCTTTTAAAAATCAGGGTCAGGGCTGAGAGGTAGCTTGGTGGAGAGTGTTTACTGTGCACAAGGCCCTCAGCACACATGTAAAAAGTCAGGTATGGCAGCATATACCTGCAATCCCAGCACAGGGAGGCGGGGACAAGAGGATCCCAGGTGCTCGCCGCTCACTGGCCAGACAGTCTAGCCAAGTGGTGAGCTCTATGCTCAGTGAGAGACCCTGCCTCAGAAAATAAGGGGGAAAGCTACAGCCACTCAACTCTGGCCAACACACAAGCTCGCACACTCACGCACGCACACATGCACACACACTTCTCATTTCTTCCCTGTGTGAGCAGCTCAGATTTAGGTAATTAGCAGAATTACCATCTCCCTATAAGACATCATGATTGGATGCAGGGCCAAACCTAGAGGAGCTTCGAGGTTCAACAACCCTGTAAGTTCCTGGGGCTATCACCAGGGACCCCAGCTGGGCATAACCAGTCAACCCTGAATCCAGACACTAGAGCAATGATCAGCAATGTGAATACATACCACACACACACACACACACACACACACACACACACACACACACACACAGAGGCTTCTGCCTCACTGAACCACATATACCCCACCTGCCACCCAGCATGTGGCCACAGTCTCAACTCACGTCTGGGGCCTCCTGGTATGAGGAGGCTTCCCCCAGAGAAGAAGCTGGCTCCATCATTTGAGATGACCCGAGACCTGGATGGTGGCAGCGAACAGGAACCTCTTGCTCTTGGCTCCCACATGTGACCTAAGTGAAAAGCACTCTCATAAGACAGGGCCCAAAGTGGGGACTGGTAGACCATACCAGCTCTCCCGTATGGAGCCTGGGCCTGCAGATGCCTCTCCATCTCCACTTTCAGACTCACTAGTATGCCCAGGTGCCGGCTGCTGCTGTCTGAATGCATCCTGCAAGAGGGATTGTGGGTAGGAGATGGGCTGTCTCTGCACTGTCTTCTCCAGGCTTGGACCCCTCCCCCCAGCATACATAGGAGGTCTCCATTTGATCACACACAGTTCATGCAGACTGTCTCCAACTCTAACCCGGGCCTGGGAGAGCTGAGGCTCTAGGAAAGTCCTCTCCACGTGCAGGTGAAGGCAGATGGGGTTTCATGCTGAGGCCTCTGCAGAGCAACAGGGGCCTCAGAGGAGGCTGGGCAACGAGGCCTGCCAACAGACCCAGAGCAGCACTTTGAGATGCTGCAAGTGGTTACAGCCCCGAGGCAGCAGCGTCTGCCCACAGGCATGCTTTTCCGGAGCACAGACCCACAACTCCACAGGGGTCAATCACCCGGGTGAGGCAGAGCCTAGCTGATGAATCACATTCCAGACGGAACCACCCAACTGCCAAAGCACACCTGTGCAGTACATTCTCCCAACCTCAGCAGGGTAGGGCGGAGCACATGCTGGCATTGCCCCCTGAGACTGGCAGCAGCAGGAACCCCTGCCCAGGCTGCCCACCTCTCTGATGTCCGCCTGCCCGTCCTGCCTTCCTGTTCACAGTGACCTCTTCCTCTGTCTAGATGTACCTGCTCTTCACCCTCCTGCTCACAGGCTTCTGTTTTACAAGGACATCTCAGCATTGGGCTCATTTGCACACCCACAGCCCTCCAGGTGAGCCATGGCTTCTGCCTGACCCAGGTCTCCCTGCGACAGAGGTGCTCTTTTGATCTCAGCTGCCTGACAGACGCATCCTCAGGGATGTGGGCTGAGGTGGACTGGCCTTCCATCCTCCGTGGGGTCCAGCCGGTCTATAAGCAGCTGAGAACAGGTGGTCCCAAGCCCAGGGAGAGCAGCCTGGATTTCAGACTCTACAGCTGGGACCCCGGCTGTGTCAGGGCCCTGCAGACCCTCCCTCCGTGAAGACTGGCTAGGACAAAGACTGAGCAGCAGAGAAAGGCAGGGTGGAGTCAGCGGGTTCAGAGAGCAGCTCAAGCAGAGAGATGACCACCTGGAGAAGGCTCCTTAGAGGCCAGAACGCTCCAGTCATTTTTTTTTTTTTTTTTTTTTTTTTTTTTTTTTTTTTTTTGGTTTTTTCGAGACAGGGTTTCTCTGTGTAGCTTTGCGCCTCTCCTGGAACTCACTTGGTAGTCCAGGCTGGCCTCGAACTCACAGAGATCCGCCTGGCTCTGCCTCCCGAGTGCTGGGATTAAAGGCGTGCGCCACCACCGCCCGGCGCTCCAGTCATTTTTAAACCGTCTTTGTCATCCCTCGACTGCCTGCTGCCTGGCTGCCTCTCCTGCAGGCCAGAACAGTTAGTTCCTCACAACCGAAGCTCTAGAGAGCACTGGAGCCCCATCTTTCTCTCACTTCTGCAGGGGCAGATATGGAATCCCCACCCAGCACCTTCCAAAGCTAACAGGGCAGACAAACGCCAGGCCAAGCCACCTGCTCACAGCCTGAGATATCTACTCTCATGGCTAGCTTCTGTGTCCAGTGCCAGCTGCCACACTCCTGGGGGCCAGAGGGCAGGGTGGACTTGTCCCCATAATCTCTTCCTAGCAGAGAGTCAGCAGCTGACCCTCATCCTGCCCCTGCCCCAGCTCTGGCATTGGTTCTGTGGCCCATGCTAATACAACAGCCTCAGCTGTCACTAGCTCAGATGTCCTTGCCACATCCCCACAGACATGCAGTCTCAGCTTCACAGATCTTGCTGCTGCCACACACTCAGAGCTGACCCGGGCTCCTTCCCACACGAACGCAAGGCAGAGGGTGGCAGTTTGTGGACTGCAGGGTCTTGGCAAACTCTCGGTCACATCCCAGGGAATCACTCCAAGATAGAACAAGCCTGTCACCCTGCGGTGGGAACACTGTGGCTGGCACACTGAGTTGGCAGGGGTTTGTCCCACACGGGGAGGAAGTTCAGGAATTTCCCTAGCTTTCTTGACTACCATCACTGAGTGGCCAGTGGGTCCCTCCATCAGGCCTTGGATCTATCCACTCCCCACCAAAGTGAGCCCTGGCCTATGACGTACACTGCAGACATATGCTGCTCCAAAAGACAAAGACTGGGGAAGACACATCGAGGTCAAGATCAGTCTGCGTGGCAAGGGTAGGTGACCACAATTCTTCACCCTCAGGATCACGGAGGGTGGATGGTGACAGCGGTCTCAGCAGTGAGTTGAGCTGGACACACAGTCACCCTGGGACAAGGCATTCTGCTGGCCCTTGCAACATCCTTGCTCACAGGGTCCGCTTGTCAATGACGGAAATAAACTGTGTGAGGTGAACTCACCTCCACGTGTGCTTTTAGAAACAGCACAGGGCAACGGTGTTGCCATCGGGTACAATCTGCCATCCTGATTTGGCACAGACTTTCTTCCCCTTTGGGGGACAGGAGGTTATGCTGGAGACACCAACTCATCTGCAGCAGGGGTAGAAATACCCTCTAAGCACACAGGCCTCCCAACGTGAGTCCACAGGGGAAGCAGAACGGGCCACCACTAGGTGTCAGTCCCACACCAGGACACAAGTTCATCACCATGGATGCTCTCTAAAACCTAAGCCTTGCCATCATAGGTCCCAAGGACATCAGCCCTGCTGCCTGCCTCCCTGGAGGGCTTCTGCAAGAGGGCTCCCAGGTGACCCCTTCGCCAGCCACCTCCTTCACCAGCATAACTGGAGGAGAAGAAAGCAGTGTGGGCCATTCAATCCTTGAAGGACAAAAGACAGCATGAAAAAAAAATCAGCAAAGAACATCCAAGGGTCGGGGAGGAGAAACCACGGAGCGAGCCAGCAAGCCAGCAGCGGAGAGCTGGTGGTTGCCGGCACCTATATATTGTCCCACACAGCCATCCCACTGTGAATGAAGCTGCTGGGTGCTGCGACCAGGCCGAGGTGCGAGCTTTGTGTCTGTCACCCTAGAGGCCTCCCTCCACGGCCAGCATCCAATTTGCTGAAACATGACTGCTACACCAAATGGTTTCATAAAGAAATGAAGGCCATAACATTTCCGCTACCTAACAAAAAATGGCGGTGGGGGCAGACAGGTGGCCCCACCATCACGCCGCAGCACACTCGTCCTTCACTGGCGCACGCACCAGTGTCCCTGGTGCTGGCTATCTCGGGCACTCCCCCATGGGCTTATCTCCCTCATGCAGGCAAAGTATGAAAATGACAGTTTAAGATAACATATAACGGAGCCCATCTTTCTTCTGAGATAAGATTTTCCAACCTGGAGTCACTGCACATCTGTGGGCCGGTGAATTAAATATAAAAGGAGCCGCCAGGGTTGGAGCTGGGCATGTCCCGCGGCTCCCCGAGTCGCTCGGGCTCCTGAGTAAAGCCTGCTTCTCACAGGAGCCTCGTTTATTCCTCCAGAACCTAATTGAGTTTTGCTGTTTCTATATTGTCTACTTTCCAAGCTGCCTTGGATTTACATTTGTAAACAAGCAGGCAGAAACCTCCAACCAGACTTAATGAGCTGTGCATTCGCTCCTCTGCCACCGCCCGCTCCGCAAACCCGTGCTTCAGCACAGGCTGGATGTGGCCCGTGGGGCTCTTGGACTTAAAACCAGGCTGCGCTTTGAGGAATGGAAAAATCCCTAATAAGATGGCAGAGATCTTGGTCTCAGCCTCGCAAAGGCCTCCCACAACCAGTCCTGCACTTCTGATTTTAGCAGGAAAATCACCCACCCTTTGGGGTCCCCCAAAGGACGAGTGGTGAGGACGCTGCTGTCTCTGAAGGTTCTCTCCTGGCTCACCTCCCCAGGACAGGTGCCTGACTTTATGCACCTAGATGTCTCTGTCTATTGACCCCCTCAGCCTCTCCATTCTCAGTGAAAGCCTCTGGAGGGTCCAGGCAGGACCACCCAGAGCCAGCCCCAGCCGCCTGCCCCCATTGGTCAGGCAGCAGCAACAAGAGCAGGCCGCGTGAGTCCCTCTGCTGAGGCACCTTGAAACCATGTCACTGTGCTCAGAAGAAAAGCTTTCCTCCTTCCGCGGTTCCTGAGCTACACAGAAAACTCAGGCTAGCTCTCCCCTCTCTCTGATGGGCAGTTCTGGGGCTGGAACTCTACGTCAGACCCTCCAGCACCTCGTCACTCTGTTGGAGGGTGGTCACAGGATGACCCATGGACAAGCCTGAGAAGACCGGTGATTCCAAGCTCCCACCAGAACCCAGGCAGTGAATGCCTGCCTCCAACACAGGCGTGGTGGCCAGGTCAGGCTGGAAGCCATGCTCACCCAAGTCTTGGTTTCCTACAAAGTGTGGGATGCCTAAGGTGAGGCTGCCCCTCCTGCTCTAGCTGGGGAAACAGGCCCTGGAGAAATGACACAGAACCAGAAGAATTAGGTGAAGCTGCTGGAAATCTTACCCACGTTGGCTAAGGTCAGGTGCAGGCGGCCCTTCACCACTGTGTGGACACCAATGGGCTTGATGCTGCCAAAGGCAGCCACGTCGCCGCTCACCACCATCGTTTCCTGCTCATACTCAGTGGCCATGACCTCCAGTTCATGTGAGACCTGAACAGCTGGCCGCCCTTGGCGGAGGAGGTGCTGCAGAGGGAAGAGAGACAGTGGTGAACAGCTGGGGTCCAGCCACTGCCACCCCTAATGGTCAGCAGAGGCGGCCCTGGAGGAGGAGGAAGGCAGGTCCGTGAAGGGCGTCAGCTACAGAGCGCTAGTCACCTGCCACACAGAAGGGGCCAACTTCTTAGAAACATCAGCTTTTACACAGCCCAATCTGCCCTCTGAATAAACACTGGGTGGCACTGTGGTGCACCAGGGACCTGGCAGCCTCCTGGTAGGAGCCAGCCTCCAAAGGGAAGAGATACGGACAACAGAACAAGGCAGAAACTGGCCGAGCCCCTCTCTGAATGAAACTGGGATGTGACAGCAAAGGTGACACCGGAGGGGCCAGGCCAAGGTGCACACCGCAGAGCCCACGAGGACAGGACCACAGGCCTCAGGAGGGGAGCCAGGCCAAGGTGCACACCGCAGAGCCCACGAGGACAGGACCACAGGCTTCAGTGTGGCTCAAGGAGGGGCCAGACGGGGTCACGGGATATGGGGACCTCTGGACCTGGGCTGAGGCATCATGAAGCCCTATGTGCCAGCGTGGCAGGCAGGCACAGCGAGTGGCACAAAGGCCTGCCCCAGGACAGCGTCAGCGGGGCTCTCTTGCGTCCCTCTCTCCAGCTGTCATCTTCAGGCTCTGCCTGAGCCCAGGCGAGGCTGGGGCACTAGGGATGGTCTCAGGCTCCTGGCCAGCCTGGACCTCATCAGCTACGTGCCCTGGAGCTTCCTCCTACCAGACAGGTGTATGGAACCAGACTACGGTCCAAGCTTCAGTAACCCTTCAGTCTCTCCTACAGAAATGAGAGCACCTTCTCTGGGAGTGAGGACGCCACACTGGGCGGCTACACACTTCGGAGGCTGCCAGCCCAGTGACAATGGCACACCACAAGTGCACAGCCATTCATGGCTCAAGAGCCCCTGGTATTGGAAAAATAGGACAAGGCCTTTGGAGAACGACCCGGAAATACTGGAAAACATCGAGCATTTGCAGGAAGCAAGGAGATGCGAACACAGTGCCGGGTGCCTATCACAGTGGAAGGCTGGTTGCAAAGATGGAACCTCTGGACGGAAGGGTGCGGCTGCCGAGAGCCCACACGGAGGAGCTGGCCTCGAGGGCCCCAGCTGCTCTGTCATCTGAAGCCCCCACTCCATTGCTTCGGATGTGACATCAGGGCACACAGAGGCAAAGAGCATGGGCGTTAGGGTAGGGACTGTGCAGAATCCCAGCTGTGATGGTTATCAGTGTGACTGTGAACTTGTCTCCACTGGAAACAGTTAACAGGAGGTCATACCTAAGTGGCCAAGGGCTTCCTTGAAAGAAGCACGGAGGTCATTGGCTCCAGCGACACATGAGCCCTTAAACCCAACCCGCATTCTTCTTTGCCTTTTAACTTTAAAACTGAAGTAGAGAGGCTTGAGAGGCAGCTCAGCAGTGAAGAGCACTGGCTGCTCTTCCAGGCGTTCAGTTCCCAGCACCCGCAAGCAGCTCACAGCAGAGCTGCCTGGAACTGTGGCTTCAGGGGACTGATTGCCCTCTTCGAGCCTCTATGGGTACCTGCAGGCATGTGCAGATGTGCGCACACACACACACACACACACACACACACACACACACACACACACACTGAGGAATTTCCAAGGAGAAAGACCAAGTAAGGAAGCTGCAGCTGGGACGAGGCTGAGCCCCCACCATGCCTCCATGGCTGCCTTGTGAGGCCCCTTCTCTCCTTCCCAACTCCCCTCTGCTGCAGACCCTGCCTCCAGCATCCACAAACCATCCCTACCCAAGGAGCATCATCCTCACAAAGGACACCAAGGCCCGGAACGCTGAGTAACAAGGTGGTTAGTGGAGACAGGACAGGTTAAGAGAGGGAGAAAAGGAAGAGGGAAGGACTGGCACAGCCTCAGAGAGGAGGGGTGCCATTTGGGGGTCCGGCACACAGAGACAGGAATCCATGGGTCTCACCACCCATCAATCACCTGAGAACAAGGTAGGCAGGGAGCCAGATGGACAATGTGGCTGGGATCGAGGAGGGATCAGCATCTGTCATGATGCCACAGGGCTGAGGCCAGCCAGGGAATGTTCATGGCGATCTTAAGCTGATCCTCTGGGGTCCACTTCACCACAGAGAGAAAGAAAGTGGGGAGAAAGCCCAGGGAAGAGTGATGGATCTCAGTGTCTGCACAGGGAGAGGGTGGGAGACACAACTGAAGGATTCTAAAATCAGAGCAAGCAATTCAGAGGCTTGGGTGTAGCTCAGCGGCAGAGTGCTTGCCTGGCATGCATAAGGCCCTGGGTTCGATTCTCAGAATAGGAAGGGAAAAAGAAATGCATTACTGCCGATAGGAACCAGGTAACTCCACATACCTCAGTCATTTCCCGCCTCTGAGGGGCCAGCTAAGAGCACCATAGAGGACAGGCGACTAGTACCTGCCCTTAGACAACCTACACCATGGCTTTGGAAGAGTCAGAAGGTGGCATTACCCGGAAGGTCAGTATGGGAGAAAAGCTCACCAAGACACACACGGCTGTAGAATTCAGCCCCCAGGGAGAAGGCTGTCCCTCAGAGGGCAGAGAACACTGCACTGCTCGTCATTAGCGGACAAAAAGTTGGCACAACCTGGTGCTGGGCTGTGGCCCTACCGTTGGGGACAGGCTATATGGAGACTTGTCCCACGGCACTGCAGTGCCCTGCCCATCCTTCGGTGGGCCGCTACCTTCATCTGGACGCCAGCAGACCCAATGAGGAGCAGAGAGTCTCCGTCCCAGACGTCGACCTGCAGCGTCTGAGCAGCCAGGTAGTGGGTGAACCAGCGCTGCTCGCCTGGCTTCAGGAACCCGGGATCCACCATGTACCTCAGCTGGAAGCCGGGAGAGCCTGAACAGAGAAAGCCCAAGTGAGCCTGTGAGTAATTGGGGCCATTTATCATCTTTACGTGCTGGAAATATTTCTGCTCTGGTCATGATTACTAATTTCTGCTTCCGTCACAATGACAGTTAATAAACACATTAATCAAAAACATCATAAAATATCCAAATTAACAAAGCGAAGAGTCTGTTCAAGAGACTGTACTCCTTTCCAGTGCGCACAATAAGCTCCCAAAATAAGACTTATGGATTCCACCGGGTCCCGATGATGGATGGGGACTTCGCCCCATGAGGCTCACCAGGGAGTTTATTATTCTATGCACAGAACTTGAGAAGAGCCCAGTACACATGTACTGTCAAGGCTGGGTCACATGTGTACACACATACACACACACACACACACACACACACACAAAGATATTTTGAACCTGCCCATGCTGGGCTACCTCAGGGTAGGACATCAGCCCCCAGAAACCGCAGGTGCCTCTCTGAGGCTGCACCCACCAATCAGGCTGACTAACATGGAAGCTAGACTATGGCCTCTGCCTTCATCTTCCCGAAGAGACACGATCATTAATTCTGAATCGACAAAACTGACAGTAGAATCATCGTTAGTTAAAGTGCACAGGAGCAGCAACACCGAGAGACACTCAAAGCCGCATTTTCCCCTCTTATCGATAGCGCCAACGATATCTACAAAACCACGATGAGCAGAGCCCTCACCTCCAGACAGGAGGGAGTGTGTGCAGCTCCTCACAGGTCACCCTCCCCTCCGAGACAGCCTGCCTCATGTCTCAGCTGCACGGGGCACAGAGACCAACATCCTGTCTGATGCCATGACAGACGGCACCTCTAGTGGAGGAAGTGTGTGTGGTGTGAGACAACACAGCCTATGATGCTGGGCTCCAGTCCTGAGAAGCAGGGAATGGAAAATGGGTGGTCTGGGGTGGACCCCAGGTGTGTGTGGTGAGGCCTGGCTGAGGTAAGAGAGGAACCAGGACAAAGACCTAAGAGGAGCCAAGTGAAAACTGTCACACAGAAGACAGGTATGCCCCACTGCAGCATCTCAGAGGGGGCCAGACAAAGTCACCACCCACCCTAGCCCAGCCCTGTGGCCAGCCCTGAGTCCTCAGCTCAGGACCATTCACAGACAAGAACCTGGCCAGATTCTCGTGCCTCTCAGAGACACACAGGCTCTGAAGCAGCCCTGTGAGCACCAAAGCCTGGGCTTACCGCAGTGTCAGACCAAGGCCACAAGCAGTGCCAGCCCTCAGCAAGACCTCTATGGAATGACTGCCCCAGAGACATGTGAGCCACATGTCCACGTGCTACCTCAGCTTCTCCTGGGCACATGCTCACCTGTCTTCTTGGGACACTCCTGTCTCCAGTCAGCTCCTACCAACACCACCTGACTGGCTCCCCTGCTCCATCACCATTCACCAGCTGCCAGGCCTCTTCAATGCTACCACCAAGTCACTCTCTCAGCAAACACTGGCTGTGCCATGCCAGATGCCAGGCCCTGCACAAGGAACATGAAGAAACAGGACACACAGGACCTATGCCTGTGTGGCACTAAGGTGGAGGATTTGCCACTGAGCACAGAGCCAGAGCGGCAGGCCCGGGGCTGCTGATTGTGGTATCTGTTGACCATTCATAACAAGGCGGCCACCTCCTCACACTGTGGGCACAGCCCACTGCGCTCCTGACCAACAGCTCTTAGGCGGCCATGTCTAGAACTGCTACAGAAGAACCTTTGAGAGTCCTGTGTCATCCCTGGGGGCTCAGAAGCTGTGACGCCACCAGCCACACTGAAAGAGGGTCCACAGGGAGGGGTACCATCCTCCCCAAGTTCACAGCCCTCGCCCTTCCTACTCCATGCCCTTTCTGGCTATACCCTTGTGGCCTCCTCACCCAGGCCCACACACAGGCCCATGCCTTGGTGGACACTTCTGATTCTGGCGGGTTTCCTGATTCAACCCAGCCATCCCTTCACAATTCACAAATGCCTCCTGCCCTGGACAGGTGTTCACAGTTCCATAGAGTGAGACTCTTTCCATCTAGATGACATCCCAAGTTCAGAATGAGCTGCTGCAGCTGTGAATTCCTAGGCACCAAGTAAGGCAGAAATGCAGGGGCACACGGGGGCGGGGGGGAGCGCAGGAAGCGGGACAATGACTCACACCTCTCTATTCAAGGGCAGATCCAGCAGCCCACAAGAAAGGGAGGACCCAGTACCCCGGGGTCCACCTACCCCCACAGGCAGCTGCAGGGAAACACTGAGCACAGCACCCCAGACACAGAATGTGAATACATTCAGAATATCAGGAAAACATGGCTACATTAAGCCGCAAAGAAAACCTAAGCACATCCCATAAAGTAGAAATAAAACAACTCCGATCTCTGAATACTACGCCACAAACTAGAAATCATTAATGAAAATTTAATCAAAACAAATTCAAAACCTAACCCTAAGTGACTATGTCAAAGGGCACACAACAAGGTTTTCTAGAAGCCTGACTTGGTGGCACACGCCTGTCATCCCAGCACTGGGGAGGAAGAGTAGGATCAGGAGTTCAAGCCACCCTGGGCTACACAGTGAGTTCAAGGCTAGCCTGGGCTACATGAGATCCTTTTGAAAGGAGGAGGTGTCTAGGAGAACAATGAAAACACAGTTTATCAGAGTGAACAAAACACAATCATCAAAGAAAAATTCATAGCCCTGCATACCACATATCTACAAAACCAGAAGATCTAAGAAAAATGAAGTGAGCTGAGAAAACTGGGAAATTAATGATCAAAAGTATCAAAAAGAGGGGCTTGGAGAGATGGCTCAGAAGTTAGGAGCACTGGCTGCTCTTGTGGAGGACCCAGGTTTGGTTCCCAGGACCTACATGGTGGCTCATACTGCCTATGACTCTGGTTCCAGGGTACCCAACGCCCTCTTCTGGCACTACATACACATGGTGCATATACACATTTTAAAAAAAAAAAAAAAGGACAGAGAGGAGACAAAGAAAAGAATGAAGATAATCCCGATTTTAATTAACTAGGAAACAAGAAATAGCCACAGCCCTAAGAGGTAAGGCTGTGTCTGTACTTCGTTCCCGTGTATTCTGTGAGTCTCACGTATCATATCTTAATGCTTTATCTCTTGAAGAACATGTGGGCTTTTCCAATTTTCCCATTGTGATTAAAGCTTCTGAAACATTGTGTATGGTTTTTCAAATGCCCAGTGATGCAGGATTTGTTTCAATTAAGTTAATTATTTTTAAGCTGACATAAAAACATAATTGTATGTGTGAATTATATGCAAGTACAAAAACATGTACATAACAAATGCCATCTTGAGCAAAAAGAACACACTAGGACACACAGCACTACCAGACACCAAAATACACAACGAAGCTACAGTGACAGAGGAGAGTGTGTACTGCCCCAAGACACACAGGCCAGGAGAGCAGGACGAAGTGCCCCAAAATAACTGCATCCAACCACAGTCGACTGAGTTTTCCTTCCTCTGTGTCAGTTATTTTACATTAGTGCTGGTTTATGACCTAAACTGTGATGGGTCTTATACAAAGTTCCATGGCTCCTGAGAAGACTGTGCATCTGGTCAGTAAATGTCTGTGGTTTAGTTTAACTCTAGAGCTTATTAATTTTGAGTCTGGATGGCCGGTCTGTTGAATCTGGACTTGTGGAGTTGCCCACTGTTATCTTCCAGGACCTGTCTGTCTTTTTATCTGCATTAATGTTTGTGCTTGTGAAACCCAGGCCCCAGGGTTTGGTGCACATGTATTTACAACTGTTGCGCCTTCTTGGTTTGTGAGCAGAAACTTCATCTCTTCTAACTGTGGTTGATGCCTGCTTCATTAGATATAAGACTGGCCACACTGGCTACTCTGGGGCTTCTATGCCCTTCATGGACTGACGTCCACCCTCTGACGGTCAGTCTGTGGGTGCCTTTGCCAGTGAGGTGTGGTGTTTGGAGACAACAAATAGATACTGCTTTATAATCCAAACATGTTACCTACATCTTTTAATCAGAGATTTAATGTACTAAGTATTATTGAAAGAGGGCTGTTATTCCCATGATCTGCTGGCTGTTTCTCTGGTTAGTTATTTCTTCCAGGGCCTTGATGGTTTACTCTGTGAGGAGTGATGGACTCTTTCTTAGCTGGCTTCGTAGCCACGGGTTGCTTTGGTCTGTGAAGGGTCTTCATTGTGCCCTGTCTTTTTCCCTCTGCTAATTCTAAAAGGCAACTTTGCTGGATACGGCAATCATGGTGCCAGTTCCCTCCTCACGGGGCTTGAAACACATCACACTCCAGGCTGGCAGTAAACTTAAGAGTTAGGGCTGAAGAGCTGAGGGAACCAACACGCCCAGGAAGCATCGCCAGTGACTCCTCCCCCAGCCTTGAGCCTCCATGTGGAGTGACTTCCTTGGCTTCTCCACTCTTGCTCCTCAGGAAGGGGCAGCCCATCCAGCAGGGGGGAGGGTAAGAGACAGGCTGTCCTCCTCACCTCAATCCAGGCCTGCTGAAGGAGGAGCAGAGGCTGGAGTCCAAGAGGGCTCAGGCGAGCAGAAAGGCTGCACTTTACCACAGGTTGCCCGGCTGCTGTTACAGGTGACCCTACCACCATAGAAGTCCAAGCATCTCAGAGGTGGAAGCCAGAGGCACAGTTGGCTCCTGGACTGCATGCTCCCATAACTGCTTTGTCATAGATGAACATAAAGGAAAGAGATGTTTTGATCTGTACCGTCTAGCACCATGAATTCTGACCTTGGAAAGAAACAGTCTGTACCTCAGCCTGCACCTCAGCCTGCCCATCAGCCTGAACATCAGCCTGACCATCAGCCTGAAAGCACAGTTCACTTCAATCGTGTTAAGTTTTCACATGTGGCATTATCTGTTGTTCTGGTTAAAATCATTAGCCACTTCTCCTGTGATTCTTCACCGACTCATCACTAGAAGTGTGTTTTAATTTTTCTAATTGGTCCAGAGAATTTGGGGAAGGAGAAGGAGTGGCAGATTTCTGACCAAGTGGCATTAGTGTCAGAGAACAGCATACCCTTTGATGTAACAATGTTGAGGTTAGCACACAACTCTAATAGAAGCTGCAGCATCTTCACACACGCCTTCACTGTGCTTTGTTCTCGTTCCCTACGAGTTCTATGAGAACCTTTTCAGGCTGCATTTCCAACCATCCTCACGGATGTGTCTCTGCCTGAGAGGTGTGTGGAACTCACCTGCTGGAGGGCCTGTCCATCCCCACTCAGGCTGCATGCACGAGTGCCTCTCAAACGAGAGCCACTTCCCTGCACAGGACGCCCCCATGGCCTTTCACCCTCCTAAACCTGTGAGCCACATCTGCCTGTCTCTGAGTTCTGGCATCGATGTTGTGAAGCTGCTTCTCGGGGTTGGAATTTGAGTGCAGTTTCCCCATCACTGTTCACATCAAGTGGCAGCAGCAGTTCAGACCCCAGCGTGGTCTCATGAGCTGTGACACTAAACTAAGATGGGAAAACGCATCAGGCCTGTTTCCGGCCTGTGTGGTTTAAACCCGTTAGTGTACAATGAAACCAGGAGCTGTAAGCCACTGCCCACCTGGAGGACACCAAAACACCATGTCACTGTTTATCCTGCCTTTCCCAAGGGAACCATATCTCACAACTGGTGAGATGCACAGATCATGGGAGCATCTGCTTGTCAAGTAGAGGTATCCAAAGTAGACTGTGACTCTTGTGTCTTCTCTAGAGAAACACTCACCCACATGCAGTGGGCACAGTCAGTGGCCACAGCACCATTGAGAGAGCCCATGTCCAGTGGGCACAGACAGTGGGCACAGTCTGTGACCACAGTGCCATCAAGAGAGGAGGCCAAGGCTGCAAAGGAGATGTCACATCACAGTCACAAAAGCTCTTGTAAAAACCGGAGACCTGCATCTAACCCCACACCTGGGCCTCACCCCCAGGGCCCAGGAAAGGAGGGAGCAGAGAGCAAGCCCCCTGTGAGCCACTGCCACGAGACAGAAAGTAAGTCTAGACTGTCACCGAAGCTTATGGGACAGCATGGCTCACAATGAGGAAAGAGCCTGGCCTCACTAGAGAGCACAGCCGTCAAGTGAGGGCTCCGCCCATCACAGCAAGGGGACTCCGTCTCTGTTTCTGTCTTTAATTACAGTTTGTGTGTGTGTGTGTGTGTGTGTGTGTGTGTGTGTGTGTGTGTGTGTGTGTGTGTTTATGTGTATATGTGTGTGTGCATGCCCACATGTGCATACATGCACACATGCCTCAGCGCACATGTAGAGGGCAGAGAACAACTTGTAGGTATCGGTTCTCTCCTTCCACCATGGGGGTCCTGGGACAAACTCAGGTCACCAGGCTTGGCAGAAAGCACCTTGACCTCACAACCTGAGACCTCATTTCTGAGCAAATTATGTTTTAAACTATGAATATTTGCAACAACTATAACATTGGCAAGAGAGCTAATAGCAGTAGGGAACTATTTTTAATTCTTAGATGGGATTATACCATTAAGTTCATGTTTTTCAAAAACTGAGTTTGGAGGCACTATGTAAAGAAATACTTGGAAAGGGGATTCACACCCACACAAGGCCGACTCTGGATCCTGGACAGAGCCCAGCTGGCCAGCCATGGAGCTTGGTCTTAGACACACCCGTCCCACTGTCCTGCACACATGACAGACTGCACTGCACAACACGCCTCTTAAGAATAACGTCTGTGGGACCGAAGAGGTGGCTCTGCAGTCAAGGCCACTTGCCACTTTTGCAGAGATTGTTTCCCAGCCCCACATCAGACAGCTCGCAACCACTGTGACTCCAACTCCAGGAGCTCTCTTCTGTCCTCCAGGACACTCACATGCACACAGACAGACACACACACACACACACACACACACACACACACACACACACACACAAAGAAAAAGCATTGTAAAATAAGAGCCCCACACAAAGTCTAGCACAGGCATTCTTGTATCCACCACTTACCAGCCTCAAAGGAGCCGTCTTTATTAATGGGGACGAGGACATGGGACAGGGAGGCAGAGCTGCTCTTGCCTGTCCCATCCAGCTTGACCAGCTGCAGGCGTGGCGTGGTCTCAGGTGGAAAACGGTAAAACTGGAAGGTGAAATACACAGTCTGTGGCCATGGTGCTCCTGGGCAGTCCTGGGCCGCTCTGAACACAACAACAGGGAACCAATCAGACATCCACGGAGAAGCTTGGGGTGTGACATGCACAGGGGCAGGACAGGCGATCACCAAGGTCACCTCAGTTACCGCCAAGAACAGCTTTGTCCTCTCAGAGGACATGACAGTGGCTATTCCAGGTGCCATGACCTCCTGGCTGGAGGTGCTGCTCTCAGCAACACTGGAGCCCGAGAATGGGCACACAAGGGGCAGGTTTTAATTAGCCCCGAAGACCGCACAAAGCGGGGCTTCTGGCATTTACAAAGGAGGGTCCCAGGCAGAATAACATAAAAATGTCAGCATGAGAGAAATACCAATGTTCAAGATGAAGGTAACTGATTACTGATTCAGTTGTGGTGCTCTGAATGACATGGCCCCCATAAGTTCATAGGGAGTGGCACTATTAGGAGGTGTGGCCTTGTTGGAGTAGGTGTGACCTTGTTGGAGGAAGTCTGTCACTGTGGGGAAGGCTTTGAGATCTCATATATGCTCAAGCCACACTCAGTGTCTCAGACCACTTCCTGTTGCCTACAAGATCAAGATGTGTAACTCTCAGCCACCTCTCCATCACCATGTCTGCCTGCATGCCACCATGCTCCCACCATGATGATAATGGACTGAACCTCTGAACTGTAAGCCATCCAGCTAAATGTTTTCTTTATAAGAGTTGCCATGGTCATGGTGTCTCTTCACAGCAACAGAAACCCTAACTAAGACAGTCATTATACACCATATACCCATATCAGATTACCAACTACCCCATAAATGCACACAATTACTACATGTATCAGTTAATTCAGAAAACCAACGGCCATATTCCAGCTGGCAAAACCTAAACACAGAGCATGCCGGGAGTCAGCCCTTCGGCATGAGGAAGCCAGGGAGTGCGATGGATGGGCACCTGGAGACTACCTGCTGAAGGCAAGAAACTGAAGCACGATCTCATTCCCTCGACGACAATCTGACTCCTCCTTCTGAGGGTTGAACCTCACCGGATCTGTGGGGTTGACGGCTTCCACTGGCTGCTGGCTAGCATCCAGGATCTCGGGGAAGCCGGAAGACTGCAGGAGCGCCATTGCTGCTCTCGAGAGCTGCCTTCTCGAGCTGAAACAGAAAAAACCCTCAGCCCGAAGCCCAGGAGTGCCGTGCACACCTCTCTACAAGAGCCTGCTCATCAAAATCAAAGGTCCAGGACCTCCCTGCCAAGCCTCACCTCCTGGTCTGGGCTCCCACAACGATGGGGACATGCAGAGGAGTGAAGGGGAGTTCCTGCAGATGATCGACAGCAGGTGTTCCCAGAACCAAGGACGTCTGGCTCAGGTCAGCTTCCAGGTGAGAGACCCTGCCCTCTAACACGGGTTCCTGCCGAACAAAACCAGGGCTCCAGGAGTGCAGCAAGAACCTGCCAACGACGGACCCCAGAGGTGCTCAGGTCTCAGGGTTTACTGCCCAAATGACTTCTGGGGGGTCATCAGCTCAGCAACTATCAATACAGGAGGCTTTTAATTTCAGGTGACCAATGACAGATTTTAGCATCTGTCCCATGCAATACTTGGGCCAAACTAAAAACAAAAAAATAAATAATAAATTTTTAAAAATTGTGTTTTTATCTGTAAGTCAAGGTTAACCGATCACTCTGTATTTTATACAGCAACCTCATCTGTGAGTCACAAAGCAATGAGGAAGAAAACACAAATTTTATGAGCAGGCCAGTACCACAGAGACACCTGATGTCTGAACACCAAATGCCAAGCGGTGCGGCAAGACATCACATTCCTGTTTGGTCTCAGACTCAGAATGGTAGCAAAAGCCTGATGTGGGCAGTCGGGCAAAAACCTACCCCTCCCGTGCCCTCTCATCCCACAGCCCACATCACAAAGAACACCCCAAGGCCCCGTCACCCAAACAACCAAACACCAGACTTCCTTCCCATGAGGAGGTGATGAGCTTGTGTGGGAGCGGAAAGCAGGACAGGGTGGGTACACTTACTGCCTGGAGCTGGGGACCCTGTGGGGACTGAGGTCTGTCCAGGGACTGAGGAGGAGGCTTGGAAGAGCTGCATGGAGCCGGAGGCTGTGGGGAGGCCGCCAGTTGGGAAAGCGACAGCTGCAAGGCAAGAGTTCTTGGGTGAAATGCTCCAAGCATGCAATCAACGCACACAGAAACACGCATGCCTGCACAGACGCTGAAGACGACTCCCCTGCATCACCACCAGGAGTGATGCCAGCACTCTCCGGGCCAGCGGCTGTTCTGAAGTCCAGAGCCCTCCAAGTTCCCTTAATTCATAATTAGAAGGAGTCCTGGTGCTGTGATTCCTTACGCATCACAACGGAAAAGCGGGTGAGGAGGTGGGGGCTCCTGCTGCAGGACCAGGTGCTGGCACAGCCTCTGGATTTGCTCCTATCCTTGCACTGGACACCTCCAAGGCTCTGTCCAGCTCCCTGTCCACTGAGTCTCCCCACCAAGGCAGCGACCAGACTAGGTGGTCAACAGGAAGTCTGGGGACAGAATGTCCATCTCCACTTCCTCAGAGCATGATCTGACTCAGTCTCCTCACCTCTGTCAGGATAATAATGGCCTCAACAGCTGGGCTGCTGTGAGAACTGCATGCATGTTCAGTGTACTAAGCCATCTACAAAGGTTTATGTTCACAAATGGAAAATGAAAGCGAACATCAAAAGTGGGGGTGGGGCTCTGGGCTGCACCAGAGCGTGTGTCTAGTCACAGCAGGAGTCTGTTTCCAGTGCACACTGCTGTGGGATGATGGCTACCAGCAAGGACAGCTAGCCCACAGGAGGGCTCAGCACGATGAGGGCAGGAGCAGTGTGCACCACACAGTATCCCTGGGACATGGGAAGGGTCTCTAGGGTCCATTCAGCCCCCCTCAGACTGCTACGCCAGCAGAAGGCAGGAAGCGGCCCACAAACTGCACCTTGGATCTGGCTTCCCTAAAATTTGATTTTCAGGATGATGCTGTAAGTCATGCAGCCAAAGCCACCCAGGGCCGGGGGACACGTGCCCCTAGCCTGTTCAGCTGTCAATGACAGGGAGCACTGTTCTTTTTGCACAGAAAGTTCTAGGCTGTGGAGGGGAATACTGACTGATAGGTGGCTGGATGTCCTGCCTCTGTCGGCTGTGGTCCAAAATCTGCCAACACCAAGTGCTTGGTCCATGGGCCAGCTGCTGCCTGGTGTCTATACCACTCTGGGAGGGGTGACGGCCAGGTCCCAGTCTCAGGGACTCAATGGCACTGACTCAACAAGCCTCACCACTGGGAGAACGTGGTATTTTAAGGGTGGATGGCAAGGTCCAGGATCACTGACTGGGCAGGAGGCCACCAGAATGGTAACTGGACCTGGAAGTCAGCTAGCTGAGGCAGGCTGCAGGACAGGGCAGGGGGACCAAAGACACCTCCAGCCCCCGCATCCAAGTGAAGTCCTTTCTTAGGCCCCAAACCCTCTGACCCTTATTCTAGACTACATGAGAGGCCCTCTGGAGCCTGGACTTACCCCTGGTCCCACAGGAGAGTCCTGGATTGCAGCAAGATCCTGGGCTGCTGGTGCTGGCGTGCCTGGGGTAGGGGGAGCACACAGGGCATAAGTGTCTTCAGGGCCCAGAGCCCAGAACGGCAGTCCAGTTGGGACCACTATGCTTCTCTATCACATCTATAACTGGCTGTTTGCATAAACTGCCCAACACAGCTCCTCTGAGCCTGGAGATTGGAAGCAAGGCTGCCTCCTCATACCCACTCTGCCTGCCTCCTCCCCTCTGCAGCAAGCTGCCTTGCTAAGTGTGGGCCAAGTGAGACAGAACACTCTGGTTCCTGGATAACCAAGCTCTCTGATACACTTCTCCGTACCCTCTGCCTTGGGAGTGCCCAGCTCTGAGGTATGCCAGACTTAGTGGTACCATGGCTGCAAGCTGCCTGGTGATCCCAACACCACCTCCTGAACATAGCCCAAGCCCCAGGCTCTCCTCATTCATGATGCAGATGTGCCTTTGGGAAGTCTACCCAGAAGTCAAGGCCAGCCCTCCATGAGGTTCCCCAGAGCAAGGGGCTGAGAACAGCGGTGACGCTTCAGAGGCCAAGGCAGTGTCCAATGGCCCAAGTGGGCCTCTGCAGAGTGACAACCTCCTCTATTGAGGCCACTGCCCTACGGTAGCACAACAGTCAAGTCAGGAGTGAGGCTGAGGTTGGTCTATGCAGATCATCTCAGCTAAGTTCCGTCTTACAGCCACGTCACAGATGCCACCATTGGCCTTCGCCTCCATGGTTACAACTTCTTGTCAATAAGAGGGGCTGTCCCAATGAGACTCGAGCCCATCTGACAGGGAGGGCCACCTCTGCCTGTCCCCAGAGATGAGGGTATAGCCAGAATGCTATAGGAACCTTGTATTTTCCTGTGGAGTGGCCTGACAGTTGTCCCTGAGAGCAGAGCTTCGTGTCCATGCCTTGCCTGGACCACTGCAGTCCCCAGTGATGGGACACTGCCCACTTCTAGGGGACTTTATCCCCTACTGCACTTTGATTTCTGGAAATATCCTGCCCTCTCCCCAGGGCCTTGACCAACCCTCATGGGGCTGACAAGAGATGCCAGGCATTCACACAGGCCTCTCTTCCTCCCATGGGGCCCCTGCTATCCAAGTCTCCACATGGCCCACAACTGACAGCAATGAATCTCATACTTCCCAAGGTCCCCTGGGGACCCCACAGCAGACAGCACAGGGCAAAACAGCCCAGTGTCTCTGCCTCTGTGCCACCTGCATGGAGAAGGCCTCCTGTTGCATTCTGGGTAGCAACAAAACAAAAATAAGATCAGCACACTCGCTACTACGGAGGAAACCCAGAACACACTGCTTAAGCCCCGTACTGCAACGGCCTTCAGGCCACATACTGCCTAGCCTCTTCTGGCTGCTTTCCAGAGGGTCCCTTAGGAGATGATACAGCCTGTCCCAGGTCTCGTGAGGGTCTGGTGGAGGCCTTGTGAGATCTCACTGATGGGGGGACAGAATGACAGGGAGTTCCAGGAATGGAAGTGGGACCAGCCAAAAAGGGCTTCTGCCTCAGGAGACCCAAATGCCCAGACGGGCCGGTACAGCTCATGGCCCAGCTGCCCCCTGGGTCATGGCCCACCTGGGAAGCGTCCACCTACCCACACACTCTCTCCTAACTTGTCAACCAACAGGGTTCCCAGTGACCCAGACACTCATGGCCAAGGAGCCTGTGATCTGAGAAACCAGGGGCTTTGCTTTGGGGGAGCCAGAAGACAAGGCCAGCTGGCTGTTTCCACAGGACGATCTCAGCTCTCTGGAGGCAAATGTGGGTGCTGCCACCCAGCCGGCCGCCACAGGGTGCCTGGCCCAGGTCCCCAGACCATCTTCTGCCACTCTCTCCTCCTAAAACAGCCTAAAGATGAAACGGGGAAAACCTACTTTGTTCCACCCTAAATGGGGACTTGGAAAACTCTACGGGCTGATTTTATAAAGAGGAAAAATTGCAGGAGATGGCTCCATTATCCTTAGCTAAGAGAAAGCCAGCACTTAGGCACGGGCCCGTGTGCATCCTCCGGGCGAGGGAAAGCTTGCTAGCTGGAGGCAACACCACCGGGGCCCATTACCGCTTCTCCCCCACAGGCTCAAATTTGGGTATTGTATGGTATGTTTCTTCAGGTAATTCTTTATATTGTGACTTACCATGCAATTTTACCTTCTGATAGAGCTAAAACAGCCTTTAAAAGGCTCTGGCAGTCCTTTTACGACACCTGCTGTGAGCCCAGGCTGTGAGGGCCCAACCCACACCCCAAGAGAAACACAGGCTGGAAAGAAATACATCCAGACCAAGAGATGCTCGTTTTCCAATCTTTCCCTCTTAGTGCCTCATCCCTACCTGGGGTACACCACAGTCCCACAGGAAAGGCATGTCTGATGGAAAGACCCACTTCTGCTATGGCACACAACTGGGCAGGAACTCCTGGGCAACACATCAGACCCCAGGACAACATGTCTGTGCACCCATGTCTGCCTGCAGAATGTCCAAGTGCACACCACATGCCCCTGAACCAATACAAGCATGCTCGTGTACAGCAAGGAGCCCAAAGAGGATAGCTGGTGTGTTGAACATGCAAGGGCATTACAGTGAGTAGAGCCGGTGACCAGACACACCGGCACAAGTCTATCCTATCTACTGATCCCATCTCCTGAGGGCAGAGGCAGGGGAGCAACCACGTGTGGCAGGCTGGCCTGCTCCAAGCTCGATGGCTCCCTCAACAGGGTGAGCTGCAAGGCATTTAGCCCGCCACTGCACCCATCTGCTAGTGTGAGTTCCCATGTTACCGCCGGCTGAATAAGGCTTTAATTATAGCTAGGTGCTACTCATCAGATCTACCATGGTGGCCCTGCCACAGCCAGAAGGCCCTTCGGGTGGCACTAATGACAGCCATCAGCACAGGCTGGCACAGAGGGATCCACAGGCAGCTGGTAACTACTGACTGCTGCTGCTTCTCCCCAGAATGTGGCCGCGAAGGCTGGACTCCATTCCGGAGGCTTGAGAGAGCGTTTAACTGGGCCTGGGCCTCTGGGTTTAAGAAGTGGCCTGGCCATTAAGGAGAGCATGGAGATCCAGAGACCATGGTTTCTCTTGGGTCAAAGGAGCCCAGGAGCCATGCAGCCAGTGCAGCTCAGTGGCACACAACCTCAGCGTACAGAGGAAAGAGGCTAAGTCAGTGGGTCCCGAGACGCCAGCTGAGGCTGCTGGCCAATTGCCAGAGACTAGGAAAAAGGCTCCCCAGTCACAGCAGGCTCTGCATCCTGCCTGAGCACCGTCTAACTGCTCCTGACACTCTTAACTCTCAACCAGTCTCCAAGCACCAAGAACTGCTGTCCATAAAACATCCACTATCCACCCCAGTTCTCTCAGTTTGGCCTCAAGAAGCCCACGTGTCCTCTGCCTGACTGAGCAGGGGCTCCTGAAGGCCAGGCAGGAGCTTATGCTCTGACCCCAATCTGAACTGTCACAGGTCCCTTTGGGTCACTCAGAGTCCCAAGGCCTGTGTGGCCTCTGACTTCTGTGCACACTAGGGAGAGAGGCCGTTCTCCAAAGCATGCTAGTGTGGCCATAGGGAGACACTTCCCTGGGACACACTGAGCTGCTTCCCTCAGCCCTGGCCAGACCTCAGATATTTTAGCCTGACCAAGAACGCTGGACACTGTCACTCTGAGTAACGGTACTACAGACGCAGCAGAGGAGCACTCTCCATCCATGTCCATTATCACAGCTGGCTGGCCTCCCTAAAGAGTGAGTGTTGGCTGGGCTTTCAGTTCCGTCGGAGCTCCTCCGAAGCATGGGCAAGGACGGGGACCAAGGCACAAGGCAGTGCCCACCCCGGGCAACCCTCAACCTTCCACTGTCCCCTTGTGAGTGGGACCTGACACCACTGCACCACCTAGGGAGCCCCTGATCGGCCATTTCTCCTCTTGAGCCATCTGCCTCTCACATGCTCAGGTCTGGGCCACGTGACAGTGGACAGACAGGACAGGCAGCACCTTCCCCACCTTTACTTTCCTCTCCCTCCGATTCACGTGTCCAACTTGTCACGTGCTTGTACTTAAGCGAGGGCCACAGAAAGATGCCAAGACAAGGAAGTAGCTAACGCAGGCCAGGACAACAACCTCCACCACTGTCCCAGACCTGGTGGCACTGGAGATCCTCAGTACAACAGGGATCCGCAGAAACAGAGATGGATGATGGTACTGTGGCACTTTCCTGCTTGGGCCCTCCTTCCTGAGAGGAGGGCTGCACCTGAGGAACTGGGGAGCAGCAGGCATGTGGGGTGAGGGGTGGTGGGGTGTGGGTAGAGGAAAGCACTCGGCTCGCTGAACGCCCAGCCCATGGTCACCTGTGGTCAACCACAAGACGGCAGAGCAAAGGCCCTGAAGGTGGAGCAAGAAAGGAGTGGCAGGAGGCAGTTGCCTAGCAACAAGCAGCAGCTGGAGAAGGGAGGAGGCAGAGAGGGGGGCAGTGTGGCCATCACAGTGAGGGAGGGGAGGAAAGAGCCTGGGCCTTCGTGAGATGGACATAAAGACGTCACTAGACATAAAGGAAGGTGGCAAGAGTGGCCCTCTGTCATCAGACCACGGGGATAAAAGATGAATCCGTACTAACGGGCTCCGGGTGCCAGAGATTCACAAGGCAACCCACCCGAAAGGCCTTTAGCCCTCACTATCTGCGGGTAAGCCAGCCTTCCCGAGGCTTTGATCACAGGGGCGGGAAAACAGGAAACAAGAGTAAAGGGAAGAAGCTGAGGGTGGGCGGGCACAGGTCTCCACCTGAGTGAACTCAGACCGCAGCCCTCGTGGGATGGGGTGACCTGTCCAGAGCTGGGGGGTCAGCTCAGCTCCCTGACCACAGCCCTGTGTCTAGTCTTCAACAAACTGCCGTGTCCCAGGTGGCCAAAAGCCTCTCCCCGACTTCTGGGGGGGACCAGGCTCCGCAGACACAAGGCCACCACTCCCGGTGCAGAGGAGGCTACAATACAGTGGCAGATGGCAGGGTCTAACCACACGTGTCCTTGG